TGTTATACAATAAAATTGTTAAAATTGTAATAAAAAATAAGTTATAGGGGCCGATTGGTAAGGACTGTGACTGTAGACTGTTACTGTAGGATATTGGCTGTAGAGAAAATGACTGTTAAAACTGTGGCTGTTATTTTTAAATATTAATAAAAGTCTGATTGGTAATAAAAACTGTATAAGTTGTTGTTGTTATTTTAAATACTTGAATTTTATATTAATAATAGAATTTATGCCAAATTCATATTTGAATTCACACAAATAACTATCTTATTTATTATCGTGCATATTTAATTTATTTAAAACGTAAATAATGCGATATAGTAAAATGTAATCCAAAACAAAGCTTGCTAAAAATTGTAGAAAATATAATTGTTACTAAAAATTTAGACAAAACATGAAATTTATAATTAAACAATTGAACTTCTTTTGTTGAATAAATTATAAACTATAGTTATATATTTATGATGCAAAAAATAACAATGAACTTTAATATGAGAAAATGGATCTCAAAAGAAAGAAAATAAAAATTCATTATCAATTAGTCAAATACAAATTGTGATAAAAAAAAATTATTCAAGTTTTTAAAAGAGGTTTCGTAATCTGGAGAAGAAGAAAAACAATAATAACAAAAAAAAATTCGAGGATGAGAGAGGAGACTTTTAAATTGTTAAAGTCTATAAAATGTGACTTTAAAAAAAAGTTGAAAACAAAGAAGAAAAACTGAAACATGACTTTCGGGACTTTAAAAATGGATAAAGTGGTAAAAGTGTGATTGGAAAAATAAAAAATGTAAGAACTGTGAAATCTATTAAAGTCTTGACAGTTCAAATGCCAATCACTCCTCTAATATCATATAGAAAGCTAAAAAATTACCTCCTCGTAAAGTATATCCAAATCTTCGTGATCCAACGTAGACTGGACAGAACTACCATCTGGAGATAACTATGTCTCTAGCTCTGCCAGTCATGCGTTGTAGTCGTTGATGTTTGTTTCGCTTGAGCGGTAACAAACGTCCCATCCTTGCGCCGATGAATTTTCTCTATCACTTTAATCATCGGAAAAAGATCACCGCCATTAACTTGTTAAACAAAAATAAACATAGATAAAAATGAAATATAGAGTAAATAAATATATAAAATACAAAAAATCTAATAAATTAATTTAATTAAGATATTACNATATCCAATCGTATTGTGGCGTATGATGATTGACCCGCACAATGCTTAGAAAGTCCATCTCCTTCGGCCACTGGCGTGAGACGAGATGCAGAACACTTCCCCGATTTAACCACCGAACGGA